AAAAATAGCCAATAAAGCTTTACCCAAAAGTGCATTATTTGCCAGCCTCTGGGTCAAATTCTGCTAATGCACCTCCTGCATTCCATAAGAACCATGAGTTTTTATGATTTGTAAGCCAGCAGAAAAAATAGTCCATTTTTATATTGTTACAGTTAAAAGTAGATACAAGTCGCAGCTTAAAATAAAGAGCACTTATGGTGCCATCTCTTGGCTATTATTTTATGTTGTTTATATTGTACAGTTTGTGTGAAATGTGAGGCATCTAGTATAATTTTAAGGCTGTAAAATAGTAAATAATATTTAAGAATCTATTTCTTTTGTTTCAATTCACAAGTTCAGGGTTCTGTTTGACCACCTATGATTAGCTTTGCTGTTTTTAAATCTAATCTTACGTGAATGATTTTCATAAATTGCCCAAATATTTTTTGGCTGATTGATGCTGTATTCCCTATACAAAATGTGTGTGTTTTACATACATGTGTCATCTGTTTCAGGAGGATAGCAGATCCATGAATGTATCTCAAATGTACTGATCACTTTTAAATCTGTATAGACATTCTTAATGATTTGTAATTGTAACTCTCATAAGAAATAATGCAGTTAACCCTTAAAATACAGAAGTGCAAATTAAAGTAACTTGATCAAGTGGTAACATTTTTGTCCTGGTTTTGTACAAATGAAAAGCACAATTCAGGAAAGGAATCTTATTGCATTAATACCTTTTCATTTGAAATTGTGTTCTTGAAAATATGTGAGAACTCTACTTGTATTAAATAATTGTTAATATCATTCAATGTATTGTCATAAGAATGAACACAGTGGGCGCATCTATATGAGATGTTTACTATATAGTTGTCTAATTAGCCCTGCAGTAAAATCTCAGCATCTACACATGTGGCCCTCTTAGGCAACAGTAAACTAATAGATACCACTGTAGATTAGTACTTGTAAACACAAGATTATCCTGCGGCAACATTATTTAGTGTGCTGTACCGCATATGTAGAGACTGATGGAACTGGCTGGGGCATGAGTGTACTTCACTGAGAGAGCTGCCTGCCCTCACTGGAGCACCTTCATGCCTGTCAGCCCCTCCGCAGCATGTTGAACCAGGTCAGAGCAGCTCAAGGCTGGCAGGCTGGATTGCTGGGCCTCTTATCAGCCGGGGGCTGCTCTGACCCAGCTCAATGTGCTGCGGTCCCAGGTGCACATGTAAATGCGGCACCTGGGAACAATAAAATCCAGCGCAATCTGCATCAGAGTTTATTCGGTCATATTAATAGCACGTGTAAACACACCCAGTATTTATAAAATGTAAAGGGAATTTAGAGTCTTTTCCCATTTACGTTTTTTAGACTATACTGTGATAGTTCTTACTCTTCGGAATCTTACTACTTGTGATTAATATTTTATTTGATTATGCAGTTATTTCAGCAAAAAAAGTATCTATTCTAGTTGTTTATATAATGCCTATCACTGAAGAGTTCAAACTTTATCTTTTTAATTTTTTTGTTTTCTTGTAGACTCAACTTCGAATTGATTCATTCTTCAGGCTAGCACAACATGAAAAAAGGGCTATTAAGAGCCAGAGACTTCGTAGAGCTGTGACTTGTATGCAAAGAAAGGAAAAAGAGGAGGAGGAGGAGGAAGTTCAAAAGGCTACTGCTGTTATGGAAGGAAAGCTGAAACAACCTGAGAAAAGAAAAGAAAATATGCCTATACAATGCACAAATGATCAAGGTACCACAGTACAAAGCAAAAATGGAAAAAGGAAAAAAGTTTCAAAATCTAAAGAGGAGAATTTCTATGGAGGTGGTTTCGTTGGGAATGTACAACTCTCAGAATCATCCAGTGGGTCTTCAGTGGAGGAATTAGACAATAAGGTTGTAAGTAAGAGCAAAAGAAAGAAAACTGGTAAGGAGTCAAACGTAAAGAAAACTGCTGCAAAACCAGAGCGTAGTAAAGAGGAAGAGAACAGTAGTTCAAGTGGTGAAGATGGAAAAGAAAAAGACATAGTCATGGTGACTGCCAAATCTGTGTTTGAAGACAAAAAAAGAAAATCGCAGTGTATGAGAGGAAGAAAAAAGACCAAGTACTAACCACGTATATGTTGTTTTATGATCATGTCTGACTTCAAATATCTAATGAATTTTCTGCTGGAAAAAATAAACCTAAATTATCTTCTGTTAGTTTTTGTTTTATATTACATTAACTCTGTGACAAGAATAGGAGACATCTTTAGCATCTTGAACTACGTTTTTTCAGCATGGTTGTTCAGGAGTCCTGTTTTTTACTAAGTGAAGATTTCTGCATTAGGGATGTAAAACTGGGCATGAGACTGAAATTAGCTTGGAGTAATCTAAGATAATTGTATTGTGTCACTATTTCTCATTCTCTCAATTTCCTACTTAAGCAAAATTAGTCAAGTGACTTATGCAATTTCTTAATATAGGGAGAAGCAAAATCAGTTCAGCCAGTACTTTTTTGCTTTCTCTTCTTCAGAAGTATATTGTTTGCTGAATCATTCTTGATGCAGAATAAGTCCCAATGGAATATCTTGTTTATGGGAGACACAAGTGGCAATAAGAGTCATAATTGTCTATATAATAATTACATCTTAAATGGCATAACATGATCTGTCTTCAGAAGTGTTATGACTTCTGTTATGGCAGGATTTGTCTATAGGCCCAGATCAGCTTCTTGGCCTCTTGAAGGCTCAGATCAAGTGTAGTAAGGAATTTAGGCTGTCTTGTAACTTAACACTACTTGCTACTATGTAAAATATCTAAATTGCTCTAACTATTTTTTCTGCCTAACTTCCCTTTCTGTTGTCCTTCTGTTTATCACTTCCCAGCAGTTCTTTGATTAGTGAAGTCTGCTTCAGAAATACAGATCTCTTAGTTTGTTTTTTTTTCCCTCTCTTCCTATATTATTTTCTCATATAGCAGGCACCTGCTAGTCTGAAACATACCTTCCTCCCTTTTTTCCCTAGCTATGTTTACTGTGTTTTTCCAACTTCAGTAGCATTCTCTGCAAGTTCAGGAACCATTCAAAGCTTTGGAAGTCTGGGGTTGGTAATGGGAAAACGTGTTTGCAAACTACCAGGTCAAGAAGCAAAGTGGACAGAACTACCTAGTAGTTGGTCTGGTGGGTCATGCTATGAGAGATACCTCATAGCATGACCTTATTTGCAGATAAGGTAAAACTGGTCTAATTCTATCTTTTTAACGCTATGTCCAATTTTTTCCTAGCTTTTGTGTTCAGAAACAAAGTTTATTGGTGGTTTGGTCCTACTTGGTCTCCTTTCTGAATGGAAACTTAAACATACATCTGTAGTGCTGCAAGTGTCCAAGCAGTGCTACAAAAAGTGAATGTTCACACCAACTGTAGTGCCACACACATGTTTCTTTTCCAAAGGGGAACATACCTGTAGCCAGAGCCGTCCCTGGGGAGGGCAAATTGGGGTGAACGCCCTGGGCCCTGCGCTTTGGGGGGGGGCCCCACATATAGTGCCGTACAGGCCCCGAGGTCGCCACCATTCCACATGCTGCTGGCTTCACACTCTGGCTGCTTGCCACTCCCATCCCTGCCCTGCACTGCTCTGGCTGCTTGCCAGTGCCGCTGCCGCACACCTCCCCCTCCCCACCACAGCTGCACACAGTCTGATATGCCCTTGGCCCCACATACCCCTAGTACCCGTAGCACTGCATCTTGTAGCACCACATGCAATGTATGGACAGTTGTAGCAGTGCTACAGAGGATCTTTCAGACCCCTGGAATTCCACAGTCCACTTTTCCTGGCTCCATGACAGCCTGCCCAGCCATGGCAAGTTGTCACGGAGCCTTGCCACTGGCACCATCACCACAGGAGCACTGGCAATAGCTAGTGCTCTTGTACTTATGGTGATAGTGGGAACAGCTGCTGCTGTTGCCATTTGCTGTGGACATCCTTCCTAATCTCAGTGGCAGGGAGGCTATATCTGCCTGATGCCGCTGCCAGCATCTGGTGGATGCAGTTGCAGCAAGGAGGTTGTATCACTAATAGCCTCCCAGGGGGGGCAGAGGGAAGCAAAGGAGCAGCACCCTATCACCCACTGGCTGGAGAACATACCTTTGAGGCAACTGTGGCACTCCAGCCGGGGAGCAGTGCTCTTGGACTCACCCCTGTTGCTCCATATTTTCTCCGTACTAGCAAGTGAACATGTCTATCGCCTCATTTCCTATATATGTGTCCTTTCCATGTTTCTATGTAGCTGAAAATGGCGACGAAACATTAAATACCTTGCAGTCGACACAATGTACAATTAACATGGAATCTACCTCAGAATGATGAAAGTGACCTTGCTCGGATTTCACTTTATGGTTCCAAAGAGTCTAGCATTTCACACACGATATTTGCACTAGTAAGCACCCTCTCCGGCAATACCTTGAATAGAAGGTGTTCTGTATCGCAAGCATGTATTCCCAATGGATATCTATTTCAAAGAGGTGTTTTGCATATGTCTCTATTTGACGGTTGCTCCCAAATAAAAAAGTCTGCTCTCTAGTAATTGCTGTTGCTAAATATAGTAAAGTCCTTCAACTATACTAGAAACTATGAGCATAGAGTAAGAAACAGTTCCTGTCCTGACAAGCTTGCAGGGTAACTTGCAAAAAAACGGAGAGAAATTTCAGAGATATCCCTATAGGTCTAATGATAGAATTTGGGCTTTTGACAAGATCAGGGAGCTGATGATGGAAAATACTTTTAATGATCTTACAGATGCATTTGGAACACTTCTATCTTAAATACACATTCACAATCGAGTGCCTACAAATACATTTCTGCTGTTTTAAAAATGTGGCATTTAATGTCTGGAAGAATTCTGTCTTTAAAAAGAAATCCTCCTCTGGTTTTCTTTGGGGTTTTTTTTTAATTATTTATTTATTTTTTCATGTGAGAATTGTTTAACTGCTATTTTGTGTCATTATCTTATTTTTTGTGAATAATTTTCCTATCACATTTTCTCTCGGCTGGGGTGCTGTTGGATGTGTTGCTGTTATGAAATCTTCCACTCCCTTATGTAAGAGTACAGAGTTCTCTTGGAAATATAACATGATGCGCTTACTTTCTGCGCATGCTGCAGCTGTCGAGATTTATTAATCTCACTTAATGTGGGGTTGTTGGCAGAATGTAACACACGCAGTCTCTTCTTTCTCGGGATATTGGTGAGTTGACTGAAGGAAAAGCCATTGGAGAAAACTACTTGTAATTCCTCCTTTATTGGAAGGCTAAAAGAAAAAAGGTTCAGGTATGTTGATAGATACCTTATAATAGACGTGGGACACTATATATAATATATTTCCTGCTATCTGACTTTCTGGAGTGTATTCTGTTTGATCTGAATTCCTTGTCATTGTTTATATTAAACAGTGAATGTTAGTAACCAAAAAGTTATTTCATTAGTGTTATGACTAAAAGCATTTTTGTAAAGGACAGTTCAAAGTCAAGCAGATGGTTCTTTCATTCAGCACCCATTATAGTGTAATTATAGAAGTAGAGAAAAAGGTTTTCATGTTTAGAAAGATTGTGTAGTGAAACAATAATATTCCTCATTCCGAATATTAAGAGCCTGTTTAACCGTCTTAATTTCTCTCCTCTTTTGACAGTATCAAAACTGATTTTCACTTTAACCACACTTACTTACCTTTTCCTTGCAAATCTCAGCTGTGTATTCCTGATTGTTTCCATTAAGCAGGATTTTGGCTTCTGTGCTTCTCAATTGATGTCTTTTTGAGCACAGAATGCACTCCCTTATTCTTACATACACAACCACCTATATGTACATGTAACACCCAAAATTAATTGTTCTTGATAGTTCAGCAAATATGTTTTATCTGTCTAGTATTATCACACAATATGGATATGATACCATCGCAACACAATTGTCTTTTGTCATCTGAGCTGAGAAGAAAACTGGATTACAAAGAAGGTAAATAGTTTATTTTTTGTGTGATATAATATTTTCTGGTAGAAGTTAAGATGCTAGATTGTTGCCTATGAAAGCTCATGACTGAGCCAGTCTGTAAGGTGCCACCCTGCCTTGCCTTCCACCTGACTTCAGCCTTTCACAACTAATTACCTCACTGTGTTTTCTGTTACACTTTAGAAGACTGGGGAATAAAGTTGTTTTACTCATGTTGGGATATTTTCATGCTCATTTTGCCTAAGGAACTGTTAATAATGTTTACATAAAAAATATAACGGGCAGACAAGGCCATTGCAGTGTCATAAGAGATTCATATGTTATACAAGGTCAGCTAATTCAGCCTGACAATTTCCTAGCATTCAGCACTCTTTCTCTGGCTGGTTGCCTGTTCCTGGTTCTGGTGAATTAAGTGGTGGCTGACGATCAAGATATTCAAGTGGAGCCTCAATGCAGGGTGTTAGTTGGATAAAAACATTAATTCAAGCGCAGTTGCTGTTTGTACAGGCAAACCTACTCTGGAGAGATTTTCATAAGACTTGGAACAGGGTTTGCTCTGCCGTACCATAACTAGTGGCTGCAGGCTTTCTGGTCCCTAAAGACCATAACACTAAAATATAAGTTTATATCAGGAAAGAGGCAGAGGACTGTTTCTCTTCATTTTAAGTACTATGTTAGAACTGGCTTTGAAAGCTTTCAAAATGTAAATTGATTGTTAGGGTTGAAAACCTGTCATGGTGATTTTTCTTTAAAACTTAAGTTTTTCATAATCCATATCATATTTACCCAGATGCAGGCAGTTGGAGAAGCTTTTGGGAGAGTTCGGAGCCAATATTCCAGCCCTTCCCAGCCACATGTGGAGGGCCTTAGATGCCCCTGAAATATTAGTACTGTCCTGAGCAACCTCTGGCTCTTGGCCTGCAGTTGATCGTATTCGTCTTCTTGAGTGGCTAATTTCCCCTCCACTACAACAGAAGACTACACCATAGAAGACCTCTCAGAAAACAGGAAACACACAATTGACCACCTGTGAAAAGAAAACATCACTCAGGAACTCTAGCAGAAGCAGGGATAGAATTCATTCATTGGGACAGGGTTCAGCTGCTTTAGCTATAAAGAACAATCTATTTCTTGAAGTTCCCCATCTCATTCATTACACATTTTCCAATTCTGTAGCAACAGAGGCTAGAATCAAACAGATAACTCCCTTTGCTACACAGTTGTGGCTAATTTTCCTGTGATCTGGGTGAGGTAGTCTTGTGGAAAAACAGTATGTAGTTATATCATTAAAACTCATAATACACATGCAACCAGGGAACTGAATTACACAGGTAGTGTTAATTCAGGGATTTATTTAATTTCTGAGATTTTGACATTGTCACACTAGTGTAATTCTTCATGTGTCATTTCCCAAGAAACCAATCCCCCCACCCCTGAAAAACAAAAACTCCAAATGCCATTGTGTGGCTTCAGATCAACACACATATGACACAGCAAAAACACTATAACCTTTTAGATCCACCATAGAGACATCTGCCACTCAAATTTATAGTAACTAAAAGGAATAGTAGATTATCTTCTATATTCCAACACCAGAAGAGGATGGGATATGTTGCTGGTGGGTTTTAGTTATTTCCTGACGGCAGAGGAAGAGTGAGACTCAGGCCACATTCTGTTCCAAATTATAGAGGGGGTGTTGATCCTAATAGGAAGAGAACTTTTCACCTATTCCCCCACATTTCTTCCCTTTCTGCATCACTCTGTTCAACCTATCCCAATTCTGTTTTCCTCATCCCTGTCCATTCTTCTTACTGTCTTAATCTCTGTTTTTGAGCCCTCTTATGTAAGTGCTGGTTTCCTGCAACAACTAGTCTCCTTTACATTCACTGTTCGAAAATCCCCCACATTGCCACTGCCAGTCTCATCCCTAAGCCTATCTCTGTTCCCCCACCTCATAGCTCCTTGCCCCTCATTTGCTTCTTGTTGCTACGTACTCCAAGTCTCACTCATTTGGCTCCTTGTCCAGTTTCAATACCCAGCTGGCTTTTTTCCCCCTCTTTTCACAGCCAGTCTCAGCACTCACCCCCACATCTCAGCATCTCATTAAATTTGTCTCCCCTGTTGTACCAGATTTCAACAGATGTACCCAGATCCTGCTCTCCTGGCTCTATTTAGTCTCTGTCACTCTTCCTGTCTTCCTTCTTATAATGTGATGCTAAATCGATTAGTTATGCTTATTTTATTTACTTAGATTCACCCTCAAATTAATTTGATTTTGCACCAGACCAGTGTGTAAAATTAAATTTGGAAGGAGAATTTGTAGGGAAGCAACTGAAGTCCTTGACACTGGCACACTTTACAGTATATCACTTGGCTTGGCCAGAATTCAATTTCTAATCCATAAATATCTAAGAAAATGCTGATCTGGTAACCCCTTGCATATCTCAGCATTTTTAAGGGACACACTGCTCCCAACTGTAAACAGCTGCTACTGCTTGATGAGAATTCCTTCTATAACTCCCCCTTTATTTCTAGGGCAACAATGGCTTCAACTTTCCAGACAAATTCCAAACAAAGCTGAAAGAATTTGTATTCCTGGACAGATGAGAACCAGTAGAAGATTGTGCCAAATATGAACTAATCAAGCAGTTGTTAGTTCCTTTTAATATAGAATAAGAAAGAATAGAAGACAGACCTTTATTGGGTTCAGGGAGTAAATTGAACCAAGTACCTTAAGGGAGAAAATTGCATTTATATAACGATCAGTCTTAGGGTAGGGAAAATAAATATATTCCATGTGGTCTATTGAGTTCATGCTTATAAATTAATTTGCTCATGCCTGAATAATATTTAACATTTCTGAAGTCCTAATTATTAACTCACCTTTTGACTTTTCAGGGTGTTACAAGTTATGTAAAGAAAAGGTTTATTTACACTAAATATAAATCTCTAATGTAGCCTTTTTCCGTCTGCCTTTCCTTCTTCCTCTAGTAGTTCCCCAAAGTCTCTTTTTCCAGGTAAGAGCAATGTAATTCATCATGATGTAGAAAAGTAGTTTTTGAGAGAAATTTTGCTGAGCATGGCATGTTTGCAATAGAGATTTGCCCTCTCTCTCCTTGATACCCTCATTGCTTTCAAATCTGTTTTTTGATTAATCCCTGCTACAAAATTTTAAAAGGTATAACTTGACAGCATTTAAATCCTAGCACTAATAGGTTTGCAAATGACCACACTGTTCATTCTACCTCAGGTTGTCTTCATTGCATTGTTGGCTCAAGTTACTTAAATTTTAAACTGCTTTTGAGTTAGGATTTGTTTATGCAAAGAGACCACACCAGAAAAAAGGAATGTAGAACAGTGTACAAAGTATGCCTTTGTGCAATTTAAGTTTAATCTACTTTGCAAGTCAGTTAAACAACCACACAAAAGGTACCTGTAGGCCATAACGAGACTGCAAATTTACAAAGCCCACCAGCAGTACCCTCAAACATTCTTCACTACTTCACACATGATATTTTCCCACCCAGAAGCAGCCATGGACATGTGTAGCCACAAGCTGACACTACCTACCTCCAGTGCCTTTGGGAGGAAGGAATAGTTTTGAAGGTGCACCTCCTGGGTATAGTAAATGTGTGGTGCAGGCATGGCCTAAAAGCACTTTTGTGGTTGAGCCCAAACCACTTCCAAGATGAATTAAGTTAAACTACAAAAATACACAATATTTGCACTATTCTATGCCATCTATCTTGGTCCCCTCCCCCCCCGTGGAGGCAATTTCTGCCTTGGGAGGAGTTAACTCAAACTTTTAGGTAACTTGAGTTTAGATAACTCAAGCTAGGATGGAATAGTTGTGTTCTAAATTCACACCTTAAGTACTTTGGAGTAATTTTCTAGTGTCATCTGTGTTGGCCAGACATAAACCAACCTCAAGTCAGCATAGACTGTGGTTAACCTTGAGTCCTAAAGACTCAAGATGGGTAACACATCAGTTTTGTTTTAATAGTTGACTGGTTGTGCTAACTTGAGCTTTAGTGTATATTAGTGACATACCGGCCAGTTCAAATTAAAATCATCAGCAACTTTAAGGTGGGGGTCTTTTGTGTGTTTGGGACTCAAGTTAGGACTCAAGCTGCCCAGCACTCAAGTTACAACTCGGATTAACTCTAGAGATGTCAAGCCCATAAATGAAATTACTTTCTTCCCAACACTATACCTGTCTTAGGCAGTAAACAGACATCTAATTGAGGCAGCCCTGATTGTACTAGGTTTTGACCTAGCTCCAAACAGGAATAGCACAGACATTTATACACATAGCCCTTCCAAGCTGTGTTGCTCCTCCTCTTCTAGTAGGTGGCCAGCAAGAGCATGTAGCCTCACAGGCTTATTCCTGGGACGACTCATGGGTAACTCGAATTACCTGCAGTTGACTTAGGATAGGAACAGATGTTGCATTTGTCTCTAGGCAAGTCGTGCCTGTGTTTGTCCTGGAACTGACATATCCTGGGATTGGTGTGTACACACATTGCCCTTTCAATCTGGGTTGAGTACTCTCCTGAATACACTTCTGCTTTTCTGCTATTGATTCAATTATACAATTCAGGGACAACCATTCAGATGTACTTTGCCATGTTTCAGGATAAACTCTTAGTACTTTTTATCCTGTGAACCTTTTTTGGATTTATCGTGGGATGATGGACATCTAAGCAATTGCACTTTGTCCTGGGATAAAATAGTTTATCCTGGGAAAAATGCAACATCTGTTTGTTGCCTTACAAGTATACCCAGAGAGATCCTGAGGAAAAAGTGCTAGCATTTTTTTTTTTTAATTTTGCCTACTTCACAGGTACTTAAAGTGGGACAGTGGACTTGTACATCTATAGACCTTGAGATGAAAGGTTTTCTTTTGGGATAAATGTGATGTCTGGTTACAACAATAATAATACTAAAGTTTATATTATAAACTTCATATTATCATCCTTTGAGGAAGAGGCTGTCTCTTGCTCTGT